TATATATATATATATCACGATGGATAAAGTAGGAAGAGTTGTTTGACTTTATAATTCAAATGAAAACTGGAGCGAAACTTAAACTTCATATTTTTGCATTATATTTATAAAATAATAAATATTTGTACTATTTCAATTTTTTTTAAATATTATTTTGTTTCTTAGAATTCTATAAAAAAAAAACTATTGTAGTTAAACTATTCCATTTTAATATATATACATTTCATTTTTTTATTTATTGTCTATTGCTATAAAAAATTAAAAGGTAAAAAATTAAGAAATTGTAAAGATTAGAAAGAAAAAAAAAAGAAATATATAAGGATTAAAAAATAAAATTCATGAAATTATAAAGATAAAAAAAATATTTTTTTTAAGTTGTACATATTAGTAACTATGATATTAGTTAACACAACTTACCTTGTGTACTTATCATTTAATTTTGAGGGTTATGCGAAAATTAATAATTCTAGTTACGACAATGTATCTACATTTATTTATATTCATATTCGATATACGATAATTTAAACCTAAAATTACTCACATAAAATATTTCTTTCATTATCTTCCTTTATTAATGATAATACTTTAAGTACTCATAAAATTAATACATGATTGTCTACTTTTTATAAGATTTTTTTAATAAATTTTTTTTTTATCCATAAGATTAGAATTCAAATTTTTGTGTAAAAAAATTGAGTTTAGTTTCACTTAAATAAATGAGTTGAGGATACTTTTAAACTCAATATTATTCCTATATAATCATATCATGTATAAATCTATAATTTGAAGATATAAAAGAACACTTTATTAAAAATAGAAAAATATTTTTTCATAATTTAACTTATTATCAAATTATTTTATTTACAAGTGAATATTATTTTGAAGTTAATAACATGATAAAATATAAATTAAAAAATAATTATATAAAAATTGTATATGAATCATATTATCATAATATTATACATGATAGCAAAAGTATCATTTTCACACTTTATTAGAATTAAGATCTACGTATAAGAAAATAATCATGCTACAAATGTATAGAAACTTATGAAAAATGTTATAATAATATTTTGAATAAAAAAAATAGCAGCAAAGTGAAAAATGAATAGCAATAGATAAAGGAAATATGTTCTGAAATGGAACTATTCTGTGCTTCACAGCTTGAGAAAAAAATAAATCAGTTTTTTTCACTTCCCGCTTTACTGAACTCTGAAACTGACACATTCTTCGTCTTAACGCCACAAACACCATTTGTGCTTCCAATGCTTCTTGCCATTGGAGTGCCCAAGTTGAAATTGTATACGACGCCGTTTACAATTCGCATTCGCATTCCAAACTCCATAACCTTTCCATTCACCACCGCCACCAATGATTCTACTTCAACTTCATCGATCTTCGCAAATTCTTCCAACACCAAATCACACAAGTCTCTTCTCTTTCACCACTTAAAAAATCGAACTTTAGACGAAGCTCGTGCCATCTTCGATCAGATCCCTTCCCCCCACGTTTCCCTCTACACCATAATGCTCCATGCTTACGCACACAACCACAGACTCCGCGAAGCCATCGACCTCTTTCGACGAATCCCATCCAAGGACGTCGTTTCCTGGAACTCCATCATCAAGGGCTGTCTCCATTGCGGGGATTTCGTCACCGCCCGAAAACTGTTCGACGAAATGCCCCAACGAACCGCTGTGTCGTGGACTACCCTCTTTGATGGGTTACTGCGAGTTGGAATTGTGGACGAGGCTGAAGCCTTGTTCTGGGGAATGGACCCTGCGGATAGGGATGTGGCTGCGTGGAATGCGATGATTCATGGGTATTGTAGCAATGGTAGAGTTCATGATGCTTTGCGGTTGTTCCGCCGAATGCCGTTCAGGGATGTGATTTCTTGGAGCTCTATGATTGCTGGGCTTGATCACAATGGGGAGAGTGAGCAAGCATTGGTTTTTTTCCGTGACATGGTGGCTTCTGGTGTGTGTTTATCTTCTGTTGGTTTGGTTTGTGGGTTGTCTGCTGCTGCTAAGATATCGGCTTTGCGTGTGGGGATTCAGATTCATTGCTCTGTGTTCAAGCTGGGTTATTGGTGTTTTGATGAATTTGTATCTGCTTCGCTCGTCACGTTTTATGGAAGTTGCAAACAGATGGAAGCTGCGTGCAGGGTTTTTGGTGAGGCAGTTTGTAAGAATGTGGTGGTATGGACGGCTCTTGTGACGGGGTATGGTTTCAATGATAAGCATCGGGAGGCGTTGGAGGTGTTTGGAGAAATGATGAGAACTGGCGTAGTTCCAAATGAATCTTCCTTCACCAGTGCTTTGAATTCTTGTTGTGGATTGGAGGATCTTGAGAGGGGGAAAGTGATCCATGCTGTGGTCGTTAAGATGGGTTTAAAAAGTGGCGGATATGTGGGAGGTTCTCTTGTTGTCATGTATAGTAAATGCGGTTATATCTGTGATGCGGTGTATGTGTTTAAGGGGATTAATGAGAAGAGTGTTGTCTCGTGGAACTCAGTCATTGTTGGTTGTGCACAACATGGATGTGGCATGTGGGCTCTAGCACTCTTTAACCAAATGCTGCGTGAAAGGGTTGATCCAGATGGAATCACGTTAACTGGTTTGCTTTCTGCTTGTAGTCGTTCTGGGATGTTACAAAAAGCAAGGTGCTTCTTCAGATACTTTGGTCAGAAAAGATCAGTTACACTTACAATTGAGCACTATGCAAGTATGGTGGATGTACTTGGCCGGTGTGGAGAGCTTGAGGAAGCAGAGGCACTGGTGATGAGCATGCCTATGAAAGCAAATTCAATGGCATGGCTGGCTTTACTGAGTGCCTGCAGGAAACACTCGAATTTGGATGTAGCTGAAAGAGCTGCAAATCAGATATTTGAAATGGAGCCTGATTGTAGTGCTGCATATGTATTGCTATCAAACTTGTATGCATCTTCAAGAAGATGGGCTGAAGTAGCTTGGATACGGAGAAAAATGAAACATAATGGAGTTGTGAAAAAACCAGGATCCAGTTGGCTAACCTTAAAAGGACGAAAGCATGAATTTCTCTCTGCAGATAGGTCACATCATCTTACTGAGAAAATTTATCAAAAGCTGGACTGGTTAGGAGTGAAGTTAAAAGAATTAGGTTTTGTTCCTGATCAACAATTTGCTTTGCATGATGTTGAAACTGAACAAAAAGAAGAAATGCTGTCCTACCACAGTGAAAGGCTTGCAATTGCATTTGGGTTGCTTAGCACTGTGGAAGGCAGTACAATAACAGTAATGAAAAATCTACGTGTATGCGGAGATTGTCATAATGCAATAAAGCTTATGGCAAAGATTGTTGACCGTGAGATTGTAGTACGTGATTCTAGCCGCTTTCACCACTTTAAGAATGGCATATGTTCTTGTGGGGATTATTGGTAGAACATTGTTTGTTCATGCAAAATGTCTATGATAATTTAATCCACTGGCAAGCATCATAATTCTTAAAAAACTCAGGAAGGAAAAATACAATGAATGGGGGTGACAATATTTGTTTGCTCTGAACTGTAGATCCTTGATAACAAAGGAGGAAGAGAAAACTTCCTTATACATTATTTGTTGTGAGTAATCTGTTTAACAAAGAGATAAGATTATTAGTTACATGAGGATCAACCAGAGCATTCCGAGCAAAAGTTGAAGATCCAAATGAGAAACACATATTAGAGTTATGGCCAACAAGGACAGGGTCTTGTAACAAAGGCAGAGTTGACAGTGTAATGAAAGAGGGTGTAGAAGATTTAGGTGAAGAAAAATTTGTGTTGGTTGGTGAGGAGGTTTTGAGATTGTTTGGAATTTGTGGGATGTTATGTGATTGGGAGGAACACCTAACCCGTTCACAAACACCAGTACCGTGGTCCCTGAAGGAATTGATAGCATTGGAAACATTGCAAAACCTATGAGAACGAACGAACCTTCTGCAGGTAAAGAGTTATACACAAATCCGCAAAAAGACACATGCACTTGATCACAAAGCAATTTCTTGATAGGAAACATGTCAAGCTTTGTTTATTTTATTTAGGTTTAATACATAGTAGCTTTTTGGAAAATTTAATCCGTTGCCTAAACTAAAATATAAAATAGAATTGTAACTAGGTTTTTTAATCTTCTACAAATTTTTATAATTAGATTTTAGAGTTAATAACATTGTCATAGATAGTTATTTCTAGCAGTTTCAAATTGTTATAAACTAACTAATGATCTAATTACAAAAATTATAGAAAATCAAAAACTCAATAGGGGCTCAGTTAAAATTTCTCATAAACTTAATAGAGCTATTGCTGTATTACACATTTTATTTTTAATTTTTCCACAATTTTTCAGGACATTAATTTTATGTATTTTTTCAAATATAAAATAAATTAATCCAAGCATGCGATTGGAGAAAGACAAAGGTGTAGTTGCTTGAAGAGGTGGTTTAACGAGCTCCACATAGAATAAGGTGCACCCTTGCACTCTATTTTTTTTAATCCCTTAACTCTCTTACTTTATAACATTCTTTTTAACTCTCAACCCTTGTCTTTTTTCCCCATCTGTTTCCTAAAATCTTTTTCCGTAAATATTACTATGTACAAATCCATCCTCACATTCATTTTATTGCCTACATTCTCAACCCCGTTAGTTGGAACAGAGAAGTTGCTTAAAATCATTTAGTATACCATCTTAACGCTTTAAAATGAAATTGATGTATCACCTAAGGTATTCGACAGAACCCAATGTTCCCATGAAGGTGAAAATGTTTTAGGTATCTTCATGATACCTGACAAGTTTGTAACATTCTCAGAAATAACGATTCCAAGAAACACGATTCTTAACAATGAAATTTTTTTTCTTCTAATTATCAAACACTCCCTTGAAAACAAATAATGAGACAGAAAGAGTACAATTTTACTTGAAAGAATTGATGTTACCTTAAACTATAAGAACAAGTTGGGAGACACTACACAAGTAAAGCTAGAGCTTATCATACCATGGCTTCCATAAGATTGCATTATATGACGTGTACTAGCAGCACTTTCATATAGATAAAAATATAAAATCATATTGATACTCATTAGTGGCACACAAGTAACCACTATGCTGGTTTCGATCTTTAATGTATTTTAATTCTTTCACTCTTCTCTCCAATTCCCTTATCAGGTTTGGCAGTCAAGTAAAAGAAAACTGGAGTGTTCTGCAAACAGAACTTTCACAGCTGCAATAGAGGTCTGTAGCAACACAATTAAACCACCCAGCTTCGTACTGCCTGTCCATGGTACTTAAACATCCCAAACTTGGACAAAAATTATTTCATTATCCATCATGAGGCAAGCAAATATATGTTTTTCATACGGTCCATTTTTACCAAGAGGAAAAAAAAAAAATGTTTGACACAGTTAGCTGAATATGTAACCCCATCCCCCGGCAAAATAGAAAAAGACAAAAAGAGAAATCTGAATATGTTGAAAAGGCAAACTTCAATAAAATGGGATACCAATGAAACATTACTTCCAATAACATGTAAATGTTCAAATTACATGAGTAGGCTATATAGACGAAAGATCTTCATATATAGTCTTGATACCTGGCCTCTCACAAACAGATCTTATGCATCGAATGGCTATTTCAAGGACCTCATTCATTCCCTTTTCAACGACTGAATTGCCCATTTCATGCACTAATGCAGCATCAAAACATTCTGAGCCTCTACCTTCTGAAACACACAACCTTACCCAATTTGTCAGATCAACACTTTCCTTCTCACCAGATATAACATCACCAGCACACCTTCCTGTTAAAAGTTCCAAAAGTATAACCCCAAAAGCATAAACATCTGATTTGAAGGAGGGCATTGGCTTCTTGGAAGCAGCAAGCTCTGGTGCACGATAACCCAAGATCCCAGCATCAAGAATTTGTTCAAATGTACCAGCCTGAGTCATAAGTTTGTGGAGGCAGTAATCAGCTACACGTGCATTCAAGTCACCTGTATCTAACAACACATTTGTTGCTTTGAGGTTCCCGTGAGGAACAGCACGATCAAAGTGGAGATAGTTCAGCCCACGTGCCACATCAACTGCTATTTTCAGCCTCAGAGCCCAGGTCAATGGTGGACCTTCTCGCTCTGGTCGATCTGAAAATTTTTATTTATAAGTTCAAAGTTCAAGAAATGCAGGATGACGAGTGTGATTCATAAACATTTAATAGTTGCACTTGCACCAGTGAATATAGCCATGCATTGGGATTAAGGCTCATGCAAGCTAACACAAGATGCAAATAATGTATTTGTACTTGAATGACAATGTTTTTAACGTGAACTTGGCAACCATTACATGTTAACAACCAATGCATAATTGAAATAATGCAACTCTACAATCATGGCGCGTGGAGTCCTGGGCAAGTAACTAGGTGTTATATTTAAGAAAAAAATTAAGTTTAGAATGACTGAGATTCTGCACTTTCGGCGGAGTTTGGTGCACATTCTGGAGAAACATGACCTATCGTAATTTTGTTATTGCTGGTCTCATTTGTGATTTTCATATCTCAAATGGTGGAATCAGACCAATTAGGTTATAAAATTTAAACCTCGTATAGAAATAAAGAAATTTATGTTTGGTGCTGTAGCATATGTATGGTACAGAGAAGCTGCTGTATCATATCAAGCGCTTTTAGGCATTTCAATTTTTAAAAATCTCAACAAATATATTTTTAAAATTAATTTTATCTAAAATCAAATTACCTTATTCAAACTAACAATTTAAAATTTAAGAAATTTGAATTAATTTATCCAAATAAAATATTTTAAGTATGATAAAAATTGAGATTAAAATAATTCAAAATTTTAAAATTTAAAATTTCTTAAATTTGTAAAATTCTTCATCCAAACACACCATTAGATTGATTAACTGTTGTAAATTAAACTTCTTGTTCCTGGCTAATTGTGTCAGATATTAACTGGTTTGGATTTATTTTATTATCCCCCTCTTTCCAACCCTATATTACTACTTCATTGTTTCTGTCTCATTCTAAACCAAAAGAAAAAAAATGTTTGTCTTATTCTAATTATCATTTGAGTGGTTAACAGTCACATGTAATGAGACAGTTTAGTAGCAATGAAAGAAAGGAACATCAACATCTTACCATATAGAAAACTTGCAAGACTTCCCGGAGAGATGTAATCTGAAAGAATAAGCTTCTCATGCTGTGTAGGACCCCAGTAGTACCCTCTCAATCCGACAACATTGGGATGCCTGATGTTAGCAAATTTTTTAGCCTCTATGGAAAATTCTTTTCTCTGTTTTGCCACTCCTTCTCTTAGCCACTTCACTCTCAAAAAATAATCATTCTCCAGAGTTGCCTTGTAAGATGTACCATGGCAGCTTCTCCCCAAAACTTCAGCTGGGGCTCTAGACAGCTCCTCAGGTGTCAATGTTGTTGCATCATCAAGAAAATAGAGCTCTCCCTTCAATTTATCTGGTGATCTTGCATATAGTCTTGCATGATTTCCTACAGAAACTGAATCACTAGACCCTGGTGATGAAAAGTGGCTATTTTTTGATGGGGAGAACCCTATTACAGCTGCCCTGTTTTCATCAAGGCTGATAATCTCTGTTGATGATCCTTTCTGTGAGGTCACAGGATCCTCAGCCGACACAACCAAAGCACCACCCAAGTATCTGTTGGGAAAAGAAGCCTTCTTCAAACAGCCATAGCGGAAGCATACACACAAAAATAGAGAAACAAAAACAAACTCATTTTATTTCTCTCCACTTACAATTTTTACAAGGACAAAATTGCAAACCCTCTCACTCACAAGTTTTCTGGAAAAACTTGGAAACCTTCATACACAAGTTTTCTGGAAAAACTTGAAAACCCTCTCATGACACACAACTACCCAAGTCCCCAATACACCCATTGGAACCTATGTTGTTGTGGTGAGTAAACACAAACCCTCACCCTTTATTTATAGTAGTAATCTACCACTACCCTTCTTCAAACTACCCAATGTGGGACTTTGGAAGATACCTACACACTTTGGCACAACACAAACTATCCGATGTGGGACTTTGGAGGATACCCACACACTTTGGGCACAACATTCCTCCCTTCAAAACTACCCAATGTGGGACTTTGGAGGATACTCACACACTTTGGGCACAACAGTATTTTGCATAACCAGGGCCAGAGATTTGTCGTTGAGCGTGCTCACTCATATCTTTAGCAGTAGCATATTCCGATGGAGATCTTGATATTCGAATGTAGTATATGAAAAAGACAGCCAGCAGGACTAACATGAAGAGAACAGCAACCACGCATGACACTATGATTATCACTTTACCAACAGGCTTCCTATTGGAATTTTCATCTGGTTTATTGGTTGATCTAAAAGGACCATTTGGAAAATGCAACCTATCATTCCCAGGATAGAAAGAAGAACTAGGGAACTTCCTAAGATTTTCTGGGACAACTCCAGACAGATAATTTTTTGAAGCATTAAATTTTTTGAGCTCCTTTGGCATGTTAATTGGTAAAGGGCCTGTAAAATGATTTTCTGATATATCCAAGGAATCTAGGGAACTCATGTTAGCAATGGTAGTTGGAAGGGAACCTGAAAAATTATTTCCTGCAACGTTGAGCACTTTCAGGCCAGTTAGTGATCCAAACTCAGCAGGA